GAATGTTTAAAATTAGCAGTTGCTTTAGTTACGACACCATAGTAATCACTAATTTTCAATGTGGAAAGTAAAGAGTATTTAGCTTTAAACGTGTCTCCTCGGGTTGTTATAACATCAGCTATCACTGCAAGTGGATTAAGAATGGGAAAAAACTAATACAGCCGACTTCCCAAGAAATCTCAGACTTTTGACAAGTCTGAGATTATTTGGGAAGTCGGCTGTGTTAGATGGATAGACAACAACCTTTTTTGTGATAACTACTAACCACTCATAGTCCCTTCAAGGATCGTGAAAGTAAACAACATCACGTTTACTTCGTATGCGGGCTCATTTGCCTATGAGCCGTCTGCATTTGGCTTTGAGCCAAATTAAATTCGTGCTTCTCTCTTTAAAAAACGAATTGTTATTAGAAGTGCTTTTGGTCTTTCGAACTTTTTCATTTCAAGTACCAAGAGGAGCGTAAAACGACAAGAATCAGAAGTTTAATTTCTCCCATTCACTTGAAGCGCTTTTCTTTCCTGAATGAGATTCAGTTTTAAAGTAGCAAATTTTCAACAATGTTGGTAATTTCTCAAGAAAGTCTGGTTGAGAGTGTTTGTTCAACCTCAATCACATTAGTACACTCACACGCTTTTTCATTAACTCGTGTTCCCTGGAATTGTTTAAATTGGTTTTGGATTAGTCCGCTTTTTTTCATTATTTTTCTTAAGTTCACGATATTTGCACATGCACGCATATCTAAGTTTATGCAACTGAATTTTACATCAATGCATGCTTGAGAAGTAGTACAAGTCATCTCAAACATTTATTGAGCTGTTGTCTAATTATGTGGGAAAACGCTTCAAAATAAGTGAAAGTTAGATAGAGACTCACCTTACTCTTCTGTAGGTGGCATTTGAAGTAGAAAAGAGAATGGAAAAACAAGGAAGACGGAAAAAAAACACAATAAATCAAAAGAAACATCAAATCTTTTTTGGCTCAAGTCAAGTAACTTACAGTTCGTAGGCAACTGAGGCCAAACGCGAAGCGGACTTGACAGCGTGAACTTTCACGATGCTTCATTGGCCTATACCTTTGTCCAACTAAAGTTTGCAGCGAGCTCAAGGGTTATCGAATGTAGCGTGAAGTATACCTGCTAAACAAGGGAGTGCCTGTAGTTTGAAACACAATTACATCGTTGCTTGGTTCACATTTCAACATTAAAGTTATGAGAAATAACCGGAAAAAACTTCAGGATTTATCTAATATAATGAAACTTATTTTCCATCTCGCATTCGACACATTTTATATTATTATCGTTTTTCTTATAATTTAGACAAATTTCAAGATTTTAAAAATTCATAGATAATAAAACGAGTTTCAGCGTCCTGTTTTTGTCACTAATCCATAAAAGATGTTCGCGATTGCAAAGATGCGTTATGGCTTCAAACTACTTGTAAAAAAGGTCAATTTGAAAAAACGTAAAAAGAAAAGAAGATTTCATAGCCAGTTAATAATCAGGCAACAACAACCGGGATTAATCGTTCGCAGCGGAACGCTGCGTACGACTAAAACGTGGCTTACATTACTCTTTGTACTTAAACCTAATATTTGAGCCTTGTCGCTTCTGCTTTCTATTCATGAAAACACATGCTTGCGTCCCTCAGCCGTGAAAGTTGATGTGTAGAATAATTGTTGTAGAACGACTGAAGCAGTGTAATTCAGGGTATATGTTTCGACGGGTTGTGCTATGGGTGTTCTTAGCTGCCCTCCTAGCTTACATCATAGAGCTATGCTTCTATCGCGCAGACCTTGAGGTGCACATTGATGGCGAAAATGATGATGCATTTGATGCTGTACGAAAAGCATTCAGGTTGATTTATAGTTTACATTTAAATTATTTTCTATTGATGTTGTTATCATAAAGAGATCAATACTTACGAAAACTGACTATCAAAGAACCCCCTAAGGACGGCGGTGAGAAAGATAGAAAGATTTGCTCATATGAGGTAGAAGAAAGTTAAATTTGCGAAGGTCCTCTTGAAATGAAGTTTGCCAAGATTTTCGAAGTCCATGCGGTGCGATAAGTCATCACGTCTGCAAAATGGCTGCTCTTCCAAATAGATAGTCGTAAAAATGGCCTCTCTATTGACCTTTGATTTTTTGTTAGGTCCACTTAACTTTTTGAATTGAAAGCAATGTTTAATACTCTTGCTCAGGAAAAGCAGAAGCTTAAGTTAGACTTTTTCATATGTAGCCAAATTTGATATAATAGTATCATTTTACTGGACTCAGTGGTCCTCCGCAATCTAAACCATTCCCTTTTTCATTTGCTTGAGCTGAAGCGAAAT